GAATTAAAATACATTCACTGACGCCATCAACGGTCTAAAACAATCATTTATTAATGTTCAAGCATGTAGTGTTTTTTAAACAGAGGTAATATGTGAGTGTTTTTATGTGTATCTACAGATGTGGTTATATATATACATGCGTGTGAGTATTTCTATGTGTATGTACACTTGTGGCTATCTACATGCGTGTGAGTGTTCCTGTATGTATCTGCACGTGTGGCTATCTACATGTGTGTGAGTGTTTCTACGTGGATCTACACGTGTGGCTATCTATATATGTGTTAGAGTGTTTCTATTTTTAACTACACATTCAGTTATATATGTGTGTGTGGAACAGATTTAGTAAAACTAATTTACTTTAACAGATTTATTGGAACAGTTTTTACAATATGAAGGTTTTGTATTAGCGACTTTTAGCACTTAGAAAGATGATGTTATTAACTTATACATTTGAGCCAAATTATTGGGCCTTTTGAGAATTTACACTTGTACATTTATCAGCTAACATTTCTGGAAAACTGAATCGGTAAAGAGATGGGAGTTTTCTGTATTCTCCTATAGTTATAAATATGATTTGGGGATATTTTTGCAGAGAAAATCTGTTGTATCAAGATCTCTGTTGTGGATGGAGCCGTCGTGGCTTATTGGTTAGTGTACCCCTGATTTTGAATCCCAGGATTCATGATTTGCGGCCCTTTGCCACAAAAGCGTATCACGTACGTTGGGAGTGCGATAAAAGAGTGACTGTCAACTCCCATTATTCAGCCTGAAAAAAGCAGCTCAAAAATGTACAGGTGGTGCTGTTGACTAAGTGCGTTCCTTCTAGTCTTTCAGCTCAAAATTAGGGAAGGCTATGCGCAGATATTCCTTTGTGTAGCTTTGCGCGAAATTCAGAAACAAACAAACAAATCCTGATGGCTAGCGCAACCTTTAGAGAAAGCTTTATATTTTAACTTCATTAAATTTACCATAAAAACGATATCAAAGAACAATTCTTGTATTTATCACCTCTGTTAGTACCCTAAATACCACTAGGCGCTACTTTGTTCATTTGCTTATATGTGAAATTGTATGTTGTAATATATTTACGAATTCTTCTAGGTGTGGATGAACCTTACTTCTCTCTATAGGGGAATTTACGCAACTTTTGTAGATCCCAACACATTATCAACGCAAGCATCGTTTCTAGTACGCCATCTGGAAGTGATCATTATCACTGTTGTTATTTTGGTGTTCTGCTTAGTCATTTTATTCGCAGGAGTTTGGCTTAAGTGCAGAACACGTGGAGTTTCGATGTACGAATCTGACAAGGTGTGCTTTACATTACTAGGTTTTCTCGAGCAAATAATTCGAAGGTTAAAAAATATTGCAAAAGTCTCCTATCTGTAATCTAGATATCTATATCAAAATCTTAACTCACTCGATAGCTTTCATAAAATTGTTTGTAGCAATTTTTATATCTTTAACTTTTACGTACACTGTTAACTTATCTGGGTGTAAGTTCTTATTTTAGAATGCCATTGTATCTGGTTTAATTGCCTCGTTATTTTCCTGATATTTTCAGTTATTATTCTTACAAGTGTGTAAAATGTTGAATTCAATGTCTTCGTGTTATTTACTGAGTATAGAAATCAAATATGGATATTACAAAGTTCATATTTTCTTAGAAAATCAAGTCTTGAACCATGTACTTTATAATTTCTAGGATAAAACATTCAATAAGCTACATTTCTTCTAAGAAAACTTGAATTTTAATAACACAAATAAAAATATATTAAGAATTAGAAGCAATTTAAATTTCATAAAATTCATTTAGCTGCTTATTAATTATAAGAGAAATTTGTAAAACTTTGATTTTTGTGACATGTTGGATTTGAATCAAATATTGTAACTTTCATCAGAGAGATTAGTCTGAAAATAAGGTTGGGCATTTATAGAGTCCGCGCTTCGCTTTGGTTGTTTGTATCTTTCAATTTATTAAGTTTACATACATAAATTCACGCCCATGGTTTGATTAAATATTGTACGTTTCATTTGTTTACAGGCGGTTCTGGAAAAGGATATGCATTCCACAGTAGAGTCTGGTGACCTTAACCCTGAGAACCAGATTTTAAGCGAAGAAATGAAGGAACAAGATAGCAAAGCCTTGATTAATGGAAAAAATAAGATTCCTGTAGGGCTGGATGACGAAGGTTGGGTTGTACCTTTTAAGGAGATCCCTCTCGAAGACAAGAACGAGCCAGATGTTCAAGACACTAAGTTGTGATGTTTAGGGTAACGAAAATCGAAAAAAAGTAATAGGAAAACATGTTTGCTATGTTTTCTCTGACAGTCTAAGATCTCCAGAATATGGGACTTTTCAGTATTTTCAGAATTCTGAGAGGATAACAACCATGAAACACCGCCCAACCTTCATTTTAGAAACACCAGTAAAATTAGTGATTTTCTTTTAACTGATAAAAGGTTTTATACATTTTCTGGTATTATAAGAAGGTTTTACATTTTCTTTGTTAGTTTCAGCTCTGTTTTAAATAAGACCTAATAAATAATAACCCTAAAATTCGAAACCCTTTTTTTCAGTACACGAAATTGCTCCATCTTGTATTTCACACTAGAACTAATACCCTAGATAAAACGTTGTTTTTAATAGTTATTAAACAACATCATCAAATATATTTTCATATTTGTCTTTGTGCTAATCTATTTTATGTTTTATTTTGTATTTCCAATACATCTTATCCCCAAGCGCTTCTAATTTTTTGTGACTTTATATTTTATTCGTAGTACCACTGTTGAGACTTTGTGTTTCACGTGACTTGAAGCTGCTCATATAACTGCGAAGTTACAAATATGACAAGACTTTTACAAAATGCGAAAGATATGTTTTATATCCAATTTTTTAAATATTATTCAAATATAAGTCAATCTCGTGCCCTTTTGTGGTTCTCAGTAAAATATTCTTTGTCTAAACTAAATTATGATTTTTAGAAATAACTAGTACGTTTTCTGAACGATACTTTTAATTTAAATAAATTCAAAAACATTGCGAAACAACCAGTTTTCTGAATCAAGAAATATACACAGGAGAATGCACGGTGAAACCACTGGTATTACTTTGAGTTTATGGTGGTCTAATCTTGTGAAAAATCATACATTCCTAGCAACAGTTTTCCGTTATGTGACAAATACATGTATTTTATTCCACAGACGCTTCAAGTTAAATACTCGAAGTATTAAAAATATGACAGAAGAGTTGCGATTCCATAGCCTACTGTCATCTTAGTGCTATTTTTAATGACAGTTGACTATGGAATCAGAGTTTACCTACTGTATTTTCTATTAATTTTGATATTTAACTGCACGCGTCTGTGATACATTTCTCGGAACGACTGAAATGGAAGTTATCTTTTTTTCTGTGTTGAACGTAACATTTTGATATCTGTGAACTACGTACTAAATCTATGATAACAGTTGTGTATAAATAGTTTGTTTATCTTACAATAGGACTCAATTATTTACAAGTTAATTAATGAGAATTACAGATGGCATTTGGATCGCTCATACTTCTCAAATGTTCTCATGATAGACGAAACTTCAACATAGTGTTAGGCTTATGTTATGATTATAAACTAACTTGAGAACCTACGTTGACCTAGCTTAAACAATATCTAAAACAAGGCACACAAGAAAATCGCTAGTTTAAAAGACTTATTAATTTTTTGTATTTTATTTCTTTGTTTAACATAAATATTATCAGTAAATTATCACAATCTGAAGTAACGATTGGTATTTGAACAGAGTTACAAAAGGCTTCAGTTTTTTTTTTAGTGTGTCACCCACTTTGTACAGGAGTAAATAGGTATGTCATCTGCATTGATGGAGTAGTGTTTTCACAAGGAGGGGTAATGTTGAAAATAACATGAATAAATAGTCGTTATGTGAGTTGCATAACTATTTTTGAGGTATTTTGTAAGATCTTATAACGGTACAGTGCAGGAAAGCCTATTTTCGAAAGTGCAATGAGAAGTATAGCCCATGCTCTGAATAACAGTCAGTAAGTAACATATTGTTGCGAAATTATCTGAAATGTATTGTTAAAAGTATTAAGCAGTTGATATGTATTGTTTAGAAATGTTTTGAGCAGTTTGAATCATAATACTGAATGACTAATACATTGTTGATGAAAGATTTGAAATGTGTTGCTAAAAGTATTAAATAGTTTTAATAATAAAGCTAGAAACAAACGGCCTTTACACTCCAGATAATTATAAGAGGAATTCTACAAGGTTAACACATAAAACTGTTTGATGTTAAAAGTGGAACATTCCAGATTCTTTTACTTTTAGAAATTTAAGTGGTTGACTTTCTTTCAGATACAAAATACATTCCAAATATTTTAATTCAATTGGAACAATGAATCGGTGAACAACTATATATCGCTATTACTACGTTTGTACATGTATCACTATTTAGTGATATTTTGTATACACTTAAATTCGCGTGTGAGATACAACATGTATTTTCATGTTCTAAGTAATAAACCAACAATAGTTTTTCATTGTGTTTTAAATATTTGTTTAAGAAAATAAATAAAGAGTTGTATTATTATCATTTAAGTTAGCATTACTGGATCATTCAATAAAATTCTTCATTTATTAAATATTACAAAGAACTATGTTTATCTGTCATCATCAGGTGGCATACAAGAACTTAGGCTAACAGAATTTAATTTTAAAAAATAACAAAAGTTTTACTGTGTACAACCGAGAAAAACTTGTGTGAAAAACCTTCATTGTTTTTTAACAAGCACATTTTAAACGCTTTGCCAAACACTAAACAACTGTAGTAACAATATTGTAAAATCAAACAGTATTAAGTAGTTAACTGGACTATATATGACCATTGTTGGGAAATTCGAGACAACGTACTTAGTAAATTAACTTTATGCACAAAAGGAAATTGTTTTGTGGAGTATGTTATTAGACGTTTCACATTTAGAAAATATCTTGATCAAGGGCACATTCCTGACGACTCTATGTAGTTTGGTTTCGATTGAAACAACTCCACATAAAACGTTTTATGCTTTAATACATTAGGCTATTTCATCAGCCTAGGTAACAAAGTTTGAAGGTTATCAGAGAATAATATAAAGACAGATATAGGTTTGGAAGCTGCCACGAGGATTTTTCAGTCACAAAGTCTAAGGGATTTGTTTGTCTCTATGCTATATATATATGTATATAACAATTAACTATCTTACAGGATACTTTATTAAAACTACAGTTTATGTATTTTTGCATCTATGAATTTTAAAAGGGCATGTTTATAAACGTTGTATTATAAATGTTACCACTCTTTGTTCCCCCTTGAACATAATTTATAAATATTCTAGATATTGACTGAATTTCTTGGTCCAACCAAAACAGTAGAAGCACGTTTTAATCAGATTTAACCCTCAAGTACTTGTTTTTAAAGGAAAAACAATCGTGACTTGAGCGTATGTAGTATATGTCTCGATACCAAGTTAACTACCGTATTTTTCGGAATATAAGACGCACCCTTATTTTGAAGACAAAGTTTTTGGGAAAAAAAAAAAGCTACAGTCGCATTTGAAAGATTTTTATTGAACAAAAATTCAATTTGATTAGGCAATTACCGACGCTAATTGCATTAAGCGCTCTGATTGGTCAAGCGCATTGCACATTTGAATCCAAGGCAATCACTCAAAA